TCTCCTCTTTTAATATCTCTCTTCCTCTCTCTCTTTTTCTCTCTCCCTCCTACTCTTTCTTTTTCTCTTTTCTCTCTCTCTCTCTTTCTCTCTCTTACAGGTACTAGCAGCTCCAGCCATTATTGGTGTCCTAATGGTGGACTCACCCACCACCTCTTATGGTTTATTATTCATTGCCTATGTGACAGCTGAGACATGGCTTGGGCCAGCAGCTGCTTTAGTTCAAGTAAATAACATGAATAAAGAAATCATTATAATACCTCCATACATCATGTAGTGTGACAAAAGCAGTTCAATTGCAATGAGTATTTTTCATTAACTTTATATTGTATGGCCCAATGACTGTGTATACATGTAATGTACATGTAATGTACACTCAATGATGTGATAAGTACATGTACATGTACTGTATACTGGTATGTGTGTGGTTGTTTGTGTAGTGCTAATGTTACTGATACCTTTACTGTTTTGTTTGTTATTTTTGGTTCTGTAGGATATCACTCTGCCTGGGATGAGAGCCCAAGCCTCTGCAGTGTACATTGGTATAATCTCAATTGTGGCCAGCATTGGACCAGTGCTGGTAGGAGGAGAGAGAGAGGAGGAGAGAGAGAGGAGGAGAGAGAGAGAGAGAGAGAGAGAGAGAGGGAGGGAGGGAGAGAGGGAGGGAGAGAGGGAGAGAAGAGAGAGAGAGAATGAATAGTAGATAAGAATACATAAAGGAGGAATGAGTAATGAAGAAGTCCCTATGTATAGACTACATGTTACTGTATGTGGGTACGATGTTATGACTTCCTTGTTGCCATAAGATAGTGTTATTTAATCAACAACCTACATATACTGCTAATATAATCAATAATCGTTGATAAAGATACGTGTACAGATAATCCCAGCGTCTTCTAATTGTGATAGTTATTCTAGCACTTAAAGCTAACTGCTAAGCCCTCTACCGTAGGCTCAAATCATGTGTTATAGTTTCAGTGTTGCCTTACTGGAGATTTACACATCATGTTTGCATAAGAAGAATTAGATGTAGCCACACACATACTCATGCCACTACCTGGCAATATAACTATAACTTGCAATCATACATGTACATGTACATAATTGGCAAGAGGTACACTATTGGCTATATACACGTACATGTACCAACTATTGAAACAATGGTCACATAATAACTGGTGTTGATCAATATTTACTAATAAAGCACAAATGCATGTATTTATGCCTTCATACCATCCCCTGTAGGTTCCCCTGTTTTCTGATCATGTCCCAGCCTTTTCTGATTGTCTTGGTTTGCGTTATGCTCTCCTCTGCACTGTCCCTACCTTTTACTTCATCTCTGCTTTGATCTTTGGCTCGCTTGGTCTAGTAATGAAGTACTGGGCACAGAAACATAAGAACAAATCCGGTAGCTATGCTATTTTTACGGACGCCATTGCTACCAGCAACGATAATGGGAAGACCACTTAGCAACTGTTTGCTGTATGGATAATAGCAATAATGATCTACTTGTATTTTTATAATTTTTGATTGTGCACAGGTATTTTTATATAATTTTTGTTGAATTTTGTATCTATTTTTCTTGTAATTATTTTTTTATTAAAATAAATATTAATATTTCAGAGCAACAAAGGTCAGTGAAGTCACGCCTCCAGTGATGGGTAACACAACCAGTCCTGTCTTTATTATTCTCTATGCTCTTCAATGGTTCTGAAGCGAGGGATGGCTCTTTTGAGACGAACAAGGCGTAAAGGAATAGTCCTACTCGCCATCATATGTATATCCTCCTCCACTCTCCTCAGGATATTCATACAAGGCGAACGCATGTACAACCAGTATTACCAGGAATCTTCCCAAGTAATTCGAAGCGGTCCTGCGGCCCAGGACTTGGATGTACAGCTTC